AAAATAAAATTAAAGCACTATCGGACATCCGTGATCGTCAGATCGGCCCAGATTCAATCTGGGCCGTTGGGCTCATATGTTCATATGAGCTAGTGGGCCAATCCCATCTTTTCCCTATATATATATATATGAAAAATTCTTAAAAATACCTATAGACGAAGTGCTACAGTGTTTAGCCCCCATCATGGACATGCTATGTTCGTGACGGTTTTGCCTAAGAACCGCCACGGACCTACGAGAGCCGTGGCGGTCCCCCCATATTTTTTTCTTCAAATTTGCATGAAGAAGATCCTGTCACGGACTTGCTATGTCCGTAACGGACCACCACGGACATGCTAAGTCCGTGACGGTCTTTAATCCACCCCGTCTGAAAGAATCGGATGGTGCCGAGTCTATGGGCGAAAATACTATTCATTTCGCCCATAGGTGTTTTGTAGTCTTTTCCTGTATATATATATATATTTTAATTTTTTTTTTTTTTTTTTTCAACCCTGATTTATTGAGGGTTAGATAAGGGTACAAATAAATCCATGAATTATGTATTTGTGCTTTACAATGAACATGAACTACCAATACAAGAATAAGTTACAACAATATACAAAATTACCAATACACCCTGACCAAATACGACTAACACTCCCTCTCAAGTTGTACATCATGGTTTAGCATGTACAACTTGTCCTTCAAATACTGATGCCATCCGTTTGATAACCCTTTTGTAAAGTAAGGTTGCTGTTTGATCTTCTGTGCCCACGAACTTCACTTCAGTTTCTTTGGCTTCAATCCTTATGACATAAAATTATAACCAATCTGAATATGTTTACTTCATCATGAAATATTGGATATGCTGTCTGGCTAAGGCACTTCTGTTATTGCAAAACATTGTGGATGTTTGAATTTTCATGCCCAAAGTGGTCATTAGAATGTGGATCCATAGCATCTCCGATGTCATACTTCTTAATGCCCAGTATGCAGTTTCAGCACTTGACCTGACAAAGGTATTCTGTTTCTTCTCCATGATATCAAATTTTTGATTTTTTTCCAGAGATAAATGAAAAATTTGGAGACTGACCTTGAATCTAGGTCACCAGCCTAATCAACATATGGATATCCCATTATTGATTCAGTCCGCATAATCTTCATATCATCTTTATGATGGGCCATGCCATGGCTCATTGTTCCTTTAGTATATTCCCATTATTGATTCAGTCCATGCCATGGCTCATTGTTCCTTCAGTATATTTGATTATCTCTTTAAGGCTTCCATATGAGATTAAGTCAGCATATGCATAAATTGACATACTTGATTCACTGCATAATGATATATCTGGTTGTGTTAGTGTGAGATATACTCTAAAGCCTGTGTGATACGTCCGCACTTCTCTGGTTCTCTTAATAATTCCCTTCATCCCTGCTCAGTCTTTTATTCATGGCAATAGGTGTTCTTGGAGGCTTACTAGTCACCGTATTACTTTTTTTTTATAACAATATAAAGCATGCTTTTGCTGAGACAACTTAATTTTATTAGCATCTTGATTTACCTCTATCCCAAGAAAATACTTCAATCTCCCAAATCTTTCATTTGGATTTTATCGTTAAGAAATCTCTTCACATTTGCAATCAACACATATGAACTACTTGCAATGCACATATGAACTACTTGCAATCATAATATCATCTAGATGCTAAAGCACAAATATAACATATCTATCACTTTGGTGGATAAAAGGGAGTGGTCGACTGCTGCTCTCTTAAATGCTCGCTCCTTTTATGTAATAAGAAAACTTTGAAATATGTTCTTGATGCTTGCTTCGATCCATAAATGGAGCAATTCAATTTACATACATACTCTCTTGAATGTGCTTCACTAAATCATGGTGGTTGCTCCACGTAAACCTCATCTTTTAACTCCTAATGAAGAAATGCATTATTTACATCTAGCTGGTGCCAAGCATGGGACAAGTCTAATGATTAAATAATACGTATTGTTACCGTCTTAACAATTAGACTAAAGTTTTCTTCAT